CATAACCATTATTCATTTTGTTGTTGTTAGGTGCCATTGAGTCGGTACTGACTCATAGCGACCTATGCACAACAGAACGGAACACTGCCGATCCTGGGCCAACCTCGCAATTGTTGACAGGCTTGAGACCACTGATGCTGACATTTTGCCAATCCATCTCGCTGGGAGTCTTCCTCTTTTTCTCTCTGAGGCTCTCCACCTTAGCAAACATGATATCCTTCTTCAGCGACTGGTCCCTCCAGACAATATGTCCTAAGTATGAGAGATGAAGTTTGTCCATCCTGGCTTCCAAGGAGCACTCTGGCAGCACTTCTTCCAACATGGATCTGTTGGTTCTTTTGGAAGCCCATGGCACTTTCAATATTCTCCTCCAACACCATAACACAAAAGCATCAATTCTTCTACGGTCTTCCTTATTCACTGTCCAGCTTTCACATGCATATGAGGTTATTGAAAATACCATGGCTTGGGTCCGGTGTACCTTAGTCCTCAAGCTGACATTTTTGCTCTTCAACACTTTAAAAAGGTCTTGTGCAGCAGATTTGCCTAATGAAATACGTCATTTGATTTCTTGACTGCTGCTTCTGTGAGTGTTCAACTATTAACATTTTGTTAAGTGCCATTGAGTCAACCCTGCATAGGGTTTCTGAGGATCAGCTGGTGGGTTTGAACCAACCTTGAGGCTCAAACTGACCTTGCAGTACAGCGCATTTCCTGCAGTACCACATTAACCATTTTTGTTGTTGTTAAATTCCATCTAAACAACAATGAGATATCATCTCACCTCAGCATTACTAGAAAAGTTCAAGAAAACATAACAAAAAATGCTGGTGAGGGACCCTCCTACATTGTTGGTAGGACTATAAAATGGTGCAACCACTATGGAAAATAATACGATGCTACCTAAAAATTTATAAATAGAAATACCACATGACTCAGCATTCCCTCTACTTGGTATATATTCACAAGAAATAACGGCCAGGACAAATAAAAATATGCACACTGATGTTCACTGCAGTACTATTCACAATAGCAAAAAGATGGAGACAGCCTAAAAGGCCATCAATGGAAGAATGGATAAACAAACTTTGGTACATATACACAAGGGAATACTACACAACATCGAAAAATAACAGTAAATCAGTGAAACATGTCATAATACGGATGAACCTAGAGGATATTATGCTGAGTGAAATTAGTCAATCACAAAAGGACAAATATTGTAGGAGACCACTATTGTAAAAATTCAAGAAAAAAATTTCATGCTAAAAGAAATATTCTTTGATGGTTACTAGGGGTGAGAAGGAAGGGAGAATAATAATTCACTGGATAGAAGGTAGACATATGTCAAGTTGGGTAACAAGAAAGACAATATGTAACAAGAGGGGAGCTATAGCAGAATGATGAGGACAGGTGAAGATATAGGGAAGAATGCAAGCGTTAAAGGGAATAGTGGTAAATACTTTTATCTATACAACCTTGCAGGCAGTCCTGATGTGGTGCTGTAGGTTAATGTGCCAGACTGCAAAGCTGTTTGAATGGCAAGGATGGCAGTTCAAATTCACCAGCCACTCCTCAGAAACCCTATACAGGGTCGCTATGGGTTGGAACCAACTCAGTGGCACTTAACAACAACAACATGCAACCTTGCAGCAACCGTGTTCTGAAGGTAGATACATGGACAGATATACAGGCTGAACAGGTATGGGAAGAAGAGTGGGAATATACGCACAGAAACCTAAGGTTTGACAGAGGATATTTGTAACTTTGTTGCAAACACACCTGTGAACACGGTACAAAATGATGAAAACTTCTTAGGCTTTACCAAACACCTGAGGCAACAAGTTCCTAGGTCTGAGGGCTCAGGATCATAGTCTCAGGGGCATCACAGTCAACTGGCATAATTTAGTCCACAAAGGCAATGTTCTACATTCTACTTTGTTGAGTTGTTGTTGTTGAGTCCTGTAGAGTCAGTTCTGATCAACAGTGACCCTGTAGAGGGTTTCTGAGGAGCAGCTGGTGAGCTTGAACCACCGACCCTGCGATTCAAACCAATTTTTTAGTACAGCACATTAACCTACAGTGCCATACCAGGAGTGAAATACCTACCGGAACAGCAACTGGAATCTTGAAAACCCACTCCAAATACCTTGGAGTGGGTTTTCCAAGGTACAACTAATGGTTTCTCCATGGGTAGAATTCAGAACAGTGATGAAAACTTAAGATGGTTCACATCAACTAAACGAATGGATCAATGGAACATGTTCACATTTGTTGCCATAATTCTGAGACCAGAAGTAGATGGTACCTGGCTACCACTACCAACTGCTGTGAAAGGGATCACATTAGAAGGTCCTGGATAAGAGTGGGGAAAAATGTGGAACAAAACTCAAATTATAAAAAAAATACCTCACTTATTGGTCAGAAAGACTGGAGGAATTTGAAACTATGGTACTTGGTCACCCTGCAGTTCTGGAAAAGAATTCACCCTCGGGGCCTAAACTTCAACCAAGTGGTAGATAGGTATATGGGGGTGGGTGGGGGACAACAACATTCAAGATCAAAAGGGAAACATTTGCCTAAGGACAAAGTTCCTTAAGGTATGGCAAGAAAGGTGGAATGGAAATAAGAACCACAGGGAGGAAGTAGGTTAATTTGTTTGATAGAGGGAACTGTAATCATTAAGATATGAAACAAAGTATATGATTTGTTAAATATAAAACTGAGAATCTGCTTTATAAACCTTCACTCAATTCATAGTATATAAACATTTTAAACACACACACTATTTGATTAAAAAGACACTTATTCAAAGAGTTCTGTTGATGATAAGCAACAATTAAACCAATTGCTTTGTGTGAGTAACTATGTGCTCCTGATGTAAAGCACCCCTACCCTTCAGTGGTTTCTAAAACTGTTTTGAGAGAATAATATATGACCACTGTACTATCTAGCAATAATGAAAGCATTCCTCTCTGGTAACAGGAGCTCAATGCCCTAAATTTTTTCAGTTTATATAACTGAATTAATCCTAATGGAAAGAAAGATTATTTATATATTTTAGATCAAGATATAAAACTCTGCTCACTAGATAACTATTAACTAAGCAAACTAGATAATATTTCCAGCTAAGGACCTTATAATTTCCCTATTTGAATAAGAAGGTGACATAATTCTCTAATATCCAGGAATTTTGAAATGTTCAAAAATTTTTCAGAAAAGCTAAAGAATTTTGTTTTTATCTCTCTTCTTTAAAAAATGCTTCATAGTTTCTTGATGCTAAATCATAAAAATAAATTGAGCAATATAACAATTGAACAACTGATACACTGAAGATCCCCAGAACAGTGGGGTGGTTCTATGGGGTATTGATATTCTCAGTTCAACTGCTGTTGTTGTTAAGTGCTGATGAGTCTGTTCTTTTACAAAACTATAAATATTTGGGGAGCACAGCAACTTGGCTTTCTCCCAAGGGGCAGCTGGTGGACTCAAACTGCTGACCTTGTGGTTCACAGTCCAGGGCTTATCATATGGCAACCACCACACTCAGTTCAATAAGCACAATAAAATATGTACGGAGCATAAGTACTATATGAGATTCTACAGTAAGAAGACATAGTCCATACACTCAAGATGGCAAAGCATTGCACTCTAGTTTTCAAATTACAACCCATGGACTTTTGAGGGTTCCACAGGTGGGGAAGAGGGGTATAGTGACATTCCTGTTAGCTTCTTACCCACTTCAGCTGTGGAGTATTTATTACCTGTTTCATATACCAGATTTTCTCATAAAATTTAGCTTGAAGAACGGATCCCTTTATACATTCACATAATAAATAAGTTTATAAATCACTGGCCTGGTCTGCAGTTCTGTTTGCATGTAGCAGCTTTGGCTGCTGTCACCACCTCTAACACATTCTCTACCAGTTTTCCCAAGGGCCCACACTGACAGTCACTGATGACAAGGTAAACCCTGATCAATAGATTGTATCATTTTATTTCTACCACAATGTGAAGTATGGGGCTTTACCTGTTGTTTTTTTGTTTGTTTCCTTTTCTTTTGAAAATAGAAACAATCAGAGGAAATGTGGAATATGGTATGCTTGCTTTGTTCTTCCATTTTTAATTTTCCAACGTGTAACATATCATTGCAAACAATCAATCAGCTTTTCTCAAATTTTAAGTAAAATGAAAACAAACTACACCTCTAAAAAACAAAACATACACAAACACTCTTAACACAGAAGATCCAAAGCAAAATAAAAAGAATCCAATATTTATTTTCATACTGTTCCACCTAGAAGACAAACAGAGAGTAATGTATAGACTCCCTAAAATTGCACATTGGTTACAAAGGTCATTCCATCCCCATCACAGCTTGATGGCCTCTGGAAGAAGGGAAGCCTAAGTCTCATGGATTTCTGAATTTGAAAGAGAGAAGACTATTATGACTGCTTAGGCCGAAGGCCCTTACCACATGGTCTACTGCATGTGGGACACTTCTCCTGCTTCCCCTCCAACTGGAATGATGGCATAGGCAGGACAGCCATGTCCTCTGCTCATAAGATGCTCTGTTCTTCATAGGAATGCAATGGCATTGAGAGTGAAATGCCTTCAGAAAGGAAGAAGTGCTATAAGTCTAAGTTCCTGCAAATCCTTTCTCTCATATTCAACAAGTTAGGCCTAGGACTTTCTGTGCTCTGGGGCTGGCCTTCTCTCTTGCATTTACTTTGCTTTATGTATTCTTTTCATTCTGAGGTACAACAAGCTAAGATTTTTACATGAGCTTCCATAAAGAAAAATAACAATGAGGTCTTCATATGGTATGGCTTTTCATGACTTCAAGCTACACTGGGAGTTTGGTACCAAATTCCTAGCTAATAAAAGGTTACTATGTTTTATTTTGACTCATCTGTGCATCTATCTTCTTTGAGGACTAGAGATGCTCGTGACCCAGGCCAAAGTATTCTAATAGAGTCAGAATACCCAGTAACTCTTACCTTATTTGCTTGCCTTCTCTCATATCATACAAGGAAAAGAAGACATCAGTATCTTCCCCAATGGTATTGTAGGTAAAACTTTTCAGGCTGAGGAAGAAGTGATGTGGCACTGGCATCCGACAGGTTTCTCCATGCCGTGGTCGCATTGTATCTACCTAATGATAAAGGCAAAAACAGCGATTTCTGTTTCTTATTCGTTACACTAATTATAAATAAGATGAAAACTAAGTGACTATCTCTCTTCATAGTGCTGAAGGGGATTACTTTAGAGTGACAACAAAAGTGTGTTCTCTGCTAGTAGCAGGTGTTGTATGATAGGCTTAAGTTGAGGTGGGCAAGCATACAGCAGAGCAATTATGTGAACTGTAACTCCAATTACAGTGAATTCAGTCTCTAGGGAACCATTTTCAAAGTCATTTACTGTAGATGAAGTCATGACACTGAAGCAATTGATTTATATTGTTAAGATGATAATAGTTACCACTTCAAATAACATTCTCCATGTCTCTCAGACTTATTTTAGTCTCAGTCTACTTTCTTTCAACTGTGCTTATGTAAATTTGCACAGAAGAGTGGAGAATGGCCAAATCTGCTTGTAGTTCAGGACTCCTTAAATAAAAGGCACCACATAATCACACCCCAAAACCAAGATATTCAGTGGTGTCTATCATTTCTTGGTGCACCCATAAGTTGTGAACTCTTAAAAGAAAAACTAGAGGGAAAAGGCTAGGAGGTCTGGTCAAGTTACTTACCTGGGATGTACTTTGCTGCACACTCTGTCGACTAGATAAATGCTATGGAAAGAAAACAAAACAAAAAAATTATATTTATGTGTGGGTATATTTTTTCACTCAACTGGAGAGAAAACTAATATTTATTAAGCACCATCTATATTATTAGGCAGACTTATAGTAATACACTGTAGGATGCACACTGGATTATGAACCACAAGTTTGGAAGTTCAAATCCACCAGCTAGCTGCTCCTTGGAAACCCTATACAGGGTCGTTGGGAGTCGAAACCAACTCAATGGTACTTAACAACATGTTATTATTAGGCGGACTCATGCTATGGTACTATAGAACAAGCAGTTGACTGCTAACTGCAAGGTCGGCAGTTCAGCTGCTCCTTGGAAAACCTAGACAGGGTCGTGATGAGTCACAAATGACTTGATAGCATTTAACAACAACAAAAACATATTACCAGACAGTACACTAAACCTTTTATGTCTACTATTTGATTTAACCCCAACATCTTTGTTGTTGTTAGGTGGCATTGAGTTGGTACCAATTCATAATGACCTTATGCACAGGAGAACAAAACACTGCCCGATCCTGGGCCAACCTCACTACTGTTGTCACGCTTGAGTCCATCGATGCTGCCACTTGGCCAATCCATCTTACTGGGAGGGGGGGGGGTCTTCCTCTTTTTCTCTGACCCGCTACCTTTTGAAATTTTCTGCTCAGCTCTTGTACCTCCTCATTTCTTCCATTTGCTTTAGCATCTCTACATTGGAGAGCAAATTACAGTGCATCTTCTGACATCACTTTGACCTTTTCCTTCTTTCTTTGTCTTCTCAATGACTTTTTGCTTTCTTCATGTATGATGTTCCTCATGTCATCCCACAACTCTTCTGGTTTTCGGTCTTTAGTGTTTACTGTATCAAATCTGTTCTTCAGATGAACTCTAAATTCAGATGGGATATATTCAAGGTCATATTTTGGCTTTTGTGGACTTGTTATCATTTTCTTCAGCTTCAGTTTGAATTTTCTTATGAGTAATTGATGGTCTATTCCACAATCTGCCCCTGGCCTTGTTTTGGTTGATGATATGGAGCTTTTCCATTATCTCTTTCTGCAGGTATAGTCCATTTGATTTCTATGTATTCCATCTAGTGAGGTTCATGTGTATAGTCGTCTCTTAGACTGTCTAAAGAAGGTATTTGAAATGAACAAATCATTGGTTTTGCAGAATTCTATCATGTTATCTCCAGCATAATTTCTATCACTAAGGCCAGATTTCCCAACTATTGATGCTTCCTTTTAGTTTTCAAACTTTGCATTCTAATCACCTGTAATAATCAATACATCTTGATTGCATGTTTGATCAATTTTAGATTGAAGAAGATGGTAGAATTCTTCCATTTCATCCTCACAGGCTTTAGTGGTTGGTATGTAAATTTGAGTAACAGTGGTATTAACTGTTCTTCCCTGTAGGTTCATGGGTATTGTCCTATCACAGATAGCACTGTACATCATGACTGATCTGGATATGTTCTTTTTGACAGTGAATGCAACACCATTCCTCTTCAATTTGTCATTCCAGGCATAGTAAACCATGTAGTTGTTAGATTCAAAATGGCCAATACCAGCCCATTTCAGCTCTCTAATGCCTAAAAATATCGATGTTTTTGCATTCCATCCTAGATTCATACTTCGTACATTCCATGTTCTGATTATTAATGGATGTTTACAGCTATTTCTCTTCATTTTGAGTTGTGTCCCATCAGCAAATGAAGGTCCCAAGGGCTTTACTACCACTGGCTTTACTCCATTCACATCATCACGGTCAACTCTATTTGAGGAGGCAGCTCTTTCCCAGTCACATTTTGAGTTCCTTCCAACCTGAGGGGTTTATTTTCCAGCAATATATCTGACAGTGTTTCTCTGCTATTCATAAGGTTTTCAGTGACTAAATATTTGGAAGTAGTTCATCTCTCCTTCTTCCTAGACCATCTTCATCTGGAAGCTCATCTGAAAGCTGTTCACTGTGGGTGACTCTTACTGGTATTTAAAATACCCATGGCATAGCATCCAGAAACACAGCAACTAACAAGCCACCACAGTACGACAAACTGATAAGACAAGGGGTGGAATTTCATTTGGGCAAGTCTAAAAATGTTGATTTGGCCTGCAAATACAGTAATCTGTAAGTAAATGCATGGATAGACACATAGGCTGAAGGGGTGTACTACAATTTCCTTACTTTTGCTGCCAATACTTAATGATGAGAGTTTTTTCCTGTGCACTCCAACAATACATCATTTAAGAGTATTTTCCACATGGTGAAAACTATCAAATAGTCACCTCCTGATGTCCTTTGTTCTTATGCTTTAATCTAGGCATATTGCACTACTACCGTCCTGGGACTCTGTTTCTCCTGACAATTCTTTGCACCTACCATATGTGTCAGAATATCTTTTCTGAATAGCACATAGTAGCATTTTAAAGGAACAAAGTATTCTTCAGTGATTTCCTGAAAAGATTTTCTTGAGATTTTATTTATTAGACTGAGTAATTGATTTTCTTTAAGGGAACTTTACCACTTAATTTATAAGATGACCGAATATATGTAGAATTCTAGGTTGAAATTTATTTTCCCTCAGAATTTTTAAAGCAATACTCATTGTTGCTAGTTTCCAATATAGCTATTAGGAAGTAAAGTTCTTCTTTTTTAAAATTGTGAACTGAGTGAAGGTTTACAGACAACATCATCACGTTCACATTCAACAAATTATACATTTTGTTTCATCTCAGTGAACTGCAATACTCTCCATGCAACCAAAGCTGTCTTGCTTTCTCGCTGTGGGATACAGATATTCTCTTTCATACTCTTATAGGATTGTGGGATATATATATACACACATATATACAGTCCTGGTGTGGTGCTGTGGGATAAAGCACTGGATCACAAGGTCAGTGTGAACCACAAGATCGGTGGTTCAAACTCAACAGCTGCTCCCTAAAAATGCTATACAATAAGGTTGCTATGAGTTGGAACTGACTCAACAGCACTAAACAACAGCATATATATATATGCTGTTCCAAAGGCTGTGTTGTTTCCTTTAGCCCTTACATACCCTCTGTATCTTTACCTGTCTTCATCATTCTGCTGCCAACCTCCTTGTTCTTGAATAGTGCCTTCCCCATCACCCAAGTTAACATGTGTCTTATACCCTCTAGCCAGTGAATTACTCTCCCACCCTTGGTAACTATTAAAGAAGTTTCTTTTAGTATGAAAACCTTTTCTTGAGTTTTTATAAAAGTGTTGTTGTTGTTGTTGTTGTCAGGTGCCATAGAGTTGGAACCGACTCATAGCGACTCCATGCACAGCAGAACAAAACAATGTCCGATCCTGGGCCAACCTCACTACCGCTGCCACACTTAAGCCATCAATGATGCCACCTGGCTGATCCATCTCATTGGAGGTCTTCTTCTTTTTCTCTGACCCTCCATCTTACCCAGCATGACATCCTTCTCCAGTGACTGTTCCCTCCTGACAATATGTCCAAAGCATGCGAGACGAAGCTTAGCTCTTCTGGCCTCCAAGGAGCACTCTGGCTGCACTTCTTCCAAAACAGATCTATTGGTTCTTTTGGCAGTCCATGGCACTTTTAGTATTCTCCTCCAACGCCACAACTCAAAGACATCAATTCTTCTACGATCTTCCTTATTCACTGCCCGGCTTTCGCATCCATATGATTGAAGTTGTGAAGGACTTCGTTCTTCTTGGATCAACTATCAACACTTGCGGAAGCAGCAGTCAAGAAATCAGACGACGTATTGCATTGGGCAAATCTGCTGCACAGGAACTTTTTAAAGTGTTGAAGAGCTGAGATGTCAGCTTGAGGACTAAGGTGCGCCTGACCCAGGCCACTGTGTTTTCAATAGCCTCATATGGATGCGAAAGCTGGACAGTGAATAAGGAAGATCGTAGAATAATTGATGCCTTTACAAAAGCAGTCTCATAATAATTGCCCTTTTGTGGTTGACTTATTTCATTCAGCATGTCCTCCAGGTTCATTCACATTGTGAAATGATTCACCATTATTTCTCAACATTGCACAGTACTCCACTGTGTGTATATACCAAAGCTTGTTTATTCACTGTTCCATTGATGGGTATTTAGGCTGTCTCCATCTTTTTGCTATTGCGAATAGTACTTGATAAAAATTGGTATGCATGTATCTGTTCTTGTTCTGGTTCTTATTTCTTGAGATACATACCAAGTAGAGGGATTTCTGGGTCATAGGGCATTTGTATTTCCAACTTTCTGAGGAAGTGCCAAACCAAATTCTATTCTTAAACCAAATCTTAATATATGACCAGCT